CAGTCTTGTTCGAAACGTTTTAAAATGGCATGGCCAGATGCCGCTGGCTTTCTTTTATGACAAGCAACACGCGCGTCTTTGTTTCGGACCTTAACTTAGTTGGGGGTGAGATAGACCAGGGGAAGTTACGTTTAACACAGCATTACCAGTTAAGGAGGATTTTTAGCCTAGCGCAACCTGTTCATAATCCCGGAAGGAGGGATGAATATGACCCAAAATGCCGAGCGTTATTTATGGACAGGCCTCTACGCCAGATACAACTCCCTCCAGCCTGACCCTGGATTCATGCTAATACAGAATGTCCCCAGCGAGCACAGCTACTAAAGCCAGCGTCCAAAGTAACATCTTACACCCGGCGCATCATGATCACCTGCTCGCTGTCTCCGATGGCGACATTTCTGTGCTGGCGCCTGGCCCGCTTGGTACCGCGGCGTCGCCCCCCCCCCCCCCCTCGTCATTTGTCCCCATTGTCTCGCAGCACCACTACTCGCTTAGCGACGCGGCAACAAAGGACTCGGCGGAACGGCAGCATCGCTCTCGGCACTTCGGGCGGTCCAAGCGACGCATTTGGTCCCGCTGCTCGTCTCCTCGGCGGCTCCGTTTTCCTCGCTTGCTTTTAAGGTTTCTTCTGGCTGACGCTGTTTTCTTTGACCTGGTTGGGAGGCGTGGAATATCGCTGTTTTCTTTGACCTGGTTGGGAGGCTGTGGAATATCGCTGTTTTCTTTGACCTGGTTGGGAGGCTGTGTAATATGGCATGGCATGAGGAGTTACACGCTGTCGTGATATGTTTTTAACACATGCATTGCGCGTTCTCTTTAAAAATAGATTGCTTTGCAGCTTTGAAATTTATCTTGAGTTCTGATTTATCGCAATCACAGTAATCCACTGTGCTAGCAACGGGGCATCGAATAGAAGGTGTACCATGCTGCAAAACCCGCATCAACTCCTGTTACATCGGCTCACTGGTATGCGCCTAGAAGTGAATTATAGTTGTAAAAACTCTTCTACAGGTTTTTTCCAGTTTTTCCCAACCTCTGGCTGATCCTAAGGTGTTTTAATTCATTCATGCACTCGATCACTTACCTGACTATGTTATCTCCAACTATGCTAATTATGTGAGGTGTCATCCTTATCTTTTATCAGGCAGCCGGCACCAGCTGTCGCTGCAAATGAAGTGGCGTGAGAATATGCTCGCAGCGCTTTTTTGCCACCTAGGTGCTTTAGAAAAAACAATTGTGTTGCGTTGTTTTATGCTTTATTTTGCCACATGCTGGCACATTCTTTTTTGCCTAGCTCGTGTGTGGTATAGCATTCCACCTTGATTGTTTTGGATCTGGGGAAGGATTTTTGACCGCGGGCCGAAATCCTTTACCAATTACCGCGCAGACAGTTTATCGGACAAAAGTACGGCTGAAATTTGTAAGCCTGTTTTGTACTGTACTGTTTTGTACTGCCTGTGGAAGCTTTGTAACAACTCAGTGTGGTGTTTGGTGATGCGCGGTTTTTGTGGTACAATGGTCCATTTTCGAAAAGCTTCAATGCTGCTTACGACGATGGCCGTAGCTGACGGCCCTACATTACGGCGAGACTGCATACACTTTTTATTGTCCGCTTATGTCTTCTTCTCCGATACCACAACTCAAGTATGGTGAGAATAGTGGCTTTAGATCTCTCCCCTCGCCTCGTTCAACAACGGAATGGGGTAAAAATTTATCACACTGGGGCTGAAATAATTTTACACGATCTTGGTCGCTCTGAAATTTCTCCCATTGACCTTCGGTCTGGGAACAAATAAGTTACGTCCGTCCTGCAAAAGTATTTTACCGGCCCCGTGTGGTATAATATATGTCCATTTGTTTTGCTGCTTCGACATGATTTTCGCTGGTGTTGGTTGTTTTGTGCATGGATCAGTCACAGTTTGCATGTTAATACATGCACAGGTATTGCATTATCCAGTCGGCGACATCACTACGTTGTTGCCACCGGGCGCGGCGCACCCATTGTTCGACAGGATTGACCGCTCCTCAGTTCAGAGGTATGCCGTACCTACATTTCCTTCGTACCTTAACGCGGCTTACAATAAACGATCTTTAAATTAGATTAAATTAATTAACTGTTTTATGAAATAAAATAAATATAACATTAATTATTAACTCAATTAATTAAACAAATTTTAAGAATTTGAATGATTCCGGGAGTGCGGCGTGCTCCACACAGCGCCGATGCAAGTAGAAGTAACGCGACCAGCATCCAAGGCTCTCGGCGGACCGGCACGGCCGATTGGACTGACCTGGTATTATACCAGAAACTGGACAAATTAGAGCATGAAATGAAGAAACCAATGTCCATAAATAATCCCATTTCGTACGATAAGCTTATGTTCGGTGCAGTAAGCGTGGTTTAGTTACTGAATGCCAAAGAACTTTCATTACTACAACCACGTCCCTGTCAAAGTGATCAGTATATATTAAAGCTTGCTAAGAGTATTTTCAAAACTCGTTAAAAAATATTTTTCAGCCCACTAGTTCATCGTAAAAACGGCTATTATCAACGCACCCATTCATTGCATATATTTCACTCCCACTTTCTCTCGCGTTTCCATCTCCTCACTCTTCCCTCTGCTTTGCTCACCCTTCCTCGATCCCTCTCTCTGATGCTCGCCAAACACCAGACCCTCATGAATGTTATACCACGCCGCTGTCCACACCCACCCCTCTCCCGGTCGCCTATCAGCACACTATCAGCACTGGGCCTGTCCGCGCCGTCGATAGTATTGACTGCCGGCGGCGAGCGAGCACCGGAACTGACCAGACAGAGCACCTTCCAGCTCGGGGCGCCGGAGCACCGGAGCACCTTCCAGACAGCATCTGCTCGACATATCGCGCAGTAGTCAGCAGTGCAAGCATCGAGTCGCGAGCGTTGCCAGATGTTACAAGATCGAGAAAGGCCAAACGTAGTTCAGTTCCACGACGCCAAGCAGCAGTTGCCAGTTCGGAAAGGCCGGCGGCAGTTACAAACTACAGAACATCGGACTGAAGTTAAATTCCTCAACAGTCAGTGGCAGTTACAGACTCGGGCAGCGTTTGGCTGCATTTGGCTGCCGGCTGCTGCGCGAGCTTACCCAAAGTTCAACGGTTCAGCCGCCCAACTCTGGCACCAACAGCTGTCCGAATTCCAGCCCACACAACAACAGCAGCCGCCACTAACGCCGACATGTGGTCGCCCTCGGCGGCGAGCGCTCGTGATCTGCACAGAATACAAACTTACAACCCGTCCGCGGGACTGAGGAGCTGTGCACCGAGCGTCGGCGGAATATGCGGCGTGGCGCAGTCGGCCTGAGCTCTGCGCCATCGGCAACAGGCTCTGATTCCCAGACGTGTCTGCAGTTTACATGAGCTGGCAGTCGCCTAAGGCTTCCGGCTGTCTTTCATCCTCGCCAGAGTTTTGTCTCTTTTAAGCTGTTGTAGCTTCTCGAGCAGCCTAGGAGCCTTGTTTGCGAAGGGAAACCCATTTCATCGCAAAACCACAGCTATGGATTTATTGAAAGGGTGTTGACGCCGTTGCAGAAAAGATGAAACAGAGACTGCGCGGCGGCTGTCAGATATGTTTTCGACAGCAGGTGAATTTTGAGTGTTATTTTACACGGCGACGCGAGGGCAGCACTTCCTCCATCAGCTTCAACCAATAAGTTCACGACACCCCTGAGACGAAACGAACGCAGAGCCCATCTAGCCTACACCGGCACCCGGACCCGACCCAGCGCGAGCGCTTCCGCGAACCCATTGTCGTCATTTCGTCCCAGACTGTCTCCGAAACGCTTAAGAGAGTTTTGTATCGTGCCTCAGCCACCTAGGTACCACAGCGGGACTTTGTAGTCGTGCTGTGGTCACCTAATCGAGTTTTCCGTCGCATTCTCTTCGCGCGAGTAATCCTACCCTCATGTCTGATTACCGCAGGCGTGCCGACGTGATCGACTCAGAGGCTCTGACTGGCACTAACAACTCTGAATTAGGTTAGGGCTATGGTCCTCCTGGCTGATATAGTCATGCCGGTGGTCTGAAGGCAGCGGCACATGTGTTCTTATGGTCGTGGCTGGTCCCCACCAAAGTAGCTCACTAGAATGCCCGTAGTTCATGGTAATAAAAAATCGTTTATGAGAAATAAATATAAAACAGCCAAATCTCATGTTCCTTTTATTTTTCATTCTTTTTATCCATAAAACAGACATTTTTTATAATTAAAAATTAAGGTTTTTCATAAAAAATAGTTCATGCCTGCTGCAGAAAGCATGCAGCCCCAGTGTTGACACCTTCCGACACTTCACCCGTAGACCAGGAGTCCGGTGGTTTCTGGTCTCCCTCCACAAAGTGTCTTCCGTACACTTGCAACAAACTATCGCGATTGGAGCCAAACAACTACAATTCCGACAACGACGCAGGCTTGTTGTCCTCCCGCCACATAACCGACATATGCTACAGTACTTCTCTGTTCAACCGCTAGGGGCTATCTTCCGGAGGTGCGCTTTATTTCTCGTATGCCCATCCAAACTAAGCTTTGCTGCACCGGTATCCACTAACGACTCGTCTCTTGGAGTCTCCCCATACAGCCAGCCAGGGGTGTCAACCCTGAAAAATCCGCCTCCAGGGGCGAGCAGTGAGGAGGGCTCTTTTGAAGTATTTGGGCAGATATATGTTGAAGGCACTTTGGAAAAATCGCTTGCCGTGAAATATACCAGGTCAGCCACTCATCTTTATTTTCAAAATTTGGGAAGGGCGTTCCTGTCCGTCTCCAGGCTGTTTGTTTGTCAAGCGTCTGACCGCGGATGTTTGTCCCGTGGTGTTTGCCTCTCCGCCCACCACGGATATACGCCCTAACGTCCCGCTGACCCACCTCTAGCTCAAGCGACAGTGTCTGTCGCTGTCCCATCACTAATGAAGCCTTCACGCTCCCCCATCTCTTCGCCATCCAGTCACCGACGCCCTCTTGTCTCGCCACTGACCTGTAGGAGGGCGGGAACCTCGCGGGACCTCAGCACAGCTCTCGGGCGGTCCCGGCGATCCTCGGGCGCCGGCGGTGGTCCTCGGGCACAACTAGCGTCGGTCCTCGGGCAGCGGCGGCGGCGCTCGGGCGGCGGCGGCGCTCGGGCGGCGGCGGCGGGGCTCCGGCGGCGGCGGCGGCGCCCGACAGACTGGCTCGCTGGCGCCGTCGGCCGGCGCTCCCGCCGGCGATGGCGCCCAGTCGGAGCCGAAGCATCGATTGCTGGTCGGCTGACTCACTGTCACAGGGGGAGCGGCCCGGCCGCTTCCCTTTGGAGACAGCCGGCCGCGCCGCCGCCGAGACAGCCCTCCTTCCTGCGACAGAGCGGCGGAGTGCCTGGCCGGGGCAGGCTGCTTGGCTCTCTTTCCTTCAGCAGAGTGGCTGACCGGGACAGCCTGGTTGTCCCTCTCTCCTGTGGCAGAGTGGCAGTTGTGCCTAGCCGGGACAGGATGGTCAGCCTTCTTTCCCGTGGCAGAGTGGCAGTTGTGCCTAGCCGGGACAGGCTGGTCAGCCTTCTTTCCCGTGGCAGAGTGGCAGTTGTGTCTGGCCGGGATAGCCTGGCTGGTCCTCCTTCTTGCGGCAGAGTGGCAGTTGTGCTCATCGGGACAGCCTGGCCAGCGCTCTTTGCTGCGGCAGAGTGGCAGTTGTGCCTCGCTTGTGCCGCTCACCCGCCCTCTTTCCTCGACATCTGTATTCAGCGTCGTCCGTAGCGACCCACGTTGTCCGGATTTATACTCCATGAGACGTTTCGCTTCTGTGGTAGTGAATGACCTGTGCCCTCCTCTGATTGTTGTGCTCGTTACGTGACACTCTCCAGCGACGATCGCTAGCTCACCTTCCGTGACTTGCCAGTTACTCTCCTCCCCCTCCCCCATGACAGCTAGCTTATGCGACAATCGCATACCTTACGTGACTCTTCCCTCCTCCCACGAGGGGGTCTGTGGAGTATGTGACCCCATTCCTAACACATATGCTTTATTTTACCAGCTTCTGGACTAAATTATTGTCTGATTTAGCCAGGTCTAGTCAGTGGCATGATGCACATCTCTACACGTGGTTTAACATCTCAACCACCATCGCTCCTGTTCAATATTGGTAATGATAACGAACTGCTTAGCATTCTATGCATACGTTTGCTTTTTGATGCATCATTTCCATCTCCGTCTATTTTCATCATGAGCTGGGAGTTTCAGGCAACGACTTCAGGAGACGCGTCTCAATTTCCTGATCCAAACTGGCGGTAAGCAAAGCGCATTACGCATGAACCGGCCCATGCTGGCAGCACCGTGACTTGTTGAGGCGCGCGGGAGCGACAGAGATATGGTTCATGATATGGCTCATGGTATGGCTCATGATATGGCTCGTGATATAGCTCATGATATGGCTCATGATATAGCTCATGATATAGCTCATGATATGGCTCAGGACATGGCTCATGACATGGCTCATGACATGGCTCATGCGGTTCTAACACACCGAAGGGAGGCATGGGAAGACAACAGGAGAGACAACAGGCATGGAGAGACAACAGAGTCACCGGGTAAGCGGTGTCGTCCTTCATGTTCGGTTTTCGCCCGCAGTCACACAGCTCCTGGTGTCAATGTCACTACAGTTGGACCTGTAATAACGTCGCTTGGTTGAGTAACGGCGCCGCGCATGCTCCGACGACTGACGGGGGTCGCCGAGGTCACCTCTGGCGGCTGATGAGGGCGGTTGAGGTCACCTCTGGCGACTGACGAGGGCGGTCGAGGTCACCTCTGGCGACTGACGAGGGCGGCCGAGGTCACCTCTGGCGACTGACGAGGACGGTTGAGGTCACCTCTGGCGACTGACGAGGGCGGCCGAGGTCACCTCTGGCGACTGACGAGGACGGTTGAGGTCACCTCTGGCGACTGACGAGGGCGGTCGAGGTCACCTCTGGCACTGACAAGGGCGGTTGAGGTCACCTCTGGCGACTAACAATGGTGGCCAAGGTCACCTTTGGTCACTGGCGAGGGCGGCAGAGGTCGCCACACCGTGCACCCAACGGAAACCAACGTGTCGCTGAGCACATGCGTGGCCCCTATTCGTGTTGGGCAGGGGACAGCTGATTGAACGAGGGGCACCTAATAAATCATGTGCTTTGTCCCTGATGTGTCGTGCTCTCAACAAACGGTCATTCGGAAAAAATTACGCTGAAAGGATAATGGTGGAGGGTGGAGCATGCTACAGCGCTTTTAACTGAAATTAGCACACATGTGCATGTGTATGTGTATGTGCATGTAAGGTACATTTCATAGTGTACTACGAAATGATAACAGTTTTAACAGCTTCTCCATACTGTTTGTTTGATATATTATCAATGTACAGAAGGGATCTCGGAAACATGACAAAAGAAGGGTGAAAAGCCCTTCTTGAATGTCGGAATGTCGTCAAGAGGATTTGACCGGAGCGATTGAGCCCAGCTCCTAAATGACTGGACGTGATTTCAACGAAACTTGAAAGGAGACCTTCGGAATTAGAAGCTTAAGCAAAACACGCCTTTAGGTCCAGCTGAGCAAGCAAGGCCAGAGGGGAGAGCATTAAACCCACCCTGATTCGCCGTTTTTCATAGCGATTTCTGATAGGGGGGGGGGGGGCTGATGTGCCCCGCCCCTTCCGTTTGGAGGCTGATGTGCCCCGCCCCTTCCGTTTGGGGGCTGATGTGCCCCGCCCCTTCCGTTTGGAGGCTGATGTGCCCCGCCCCTTCCGTTTGCAGGCAAAGGAAGATAGAGCCTCGAAAAAAATACAGCAACATTGAATTGGGCTTAGTGAAATTATGCGATCGGTGAAACGCTGTGTGTCATTATGTCCGTGATTTACTCCACTAGGCCAGGTCAAAGGTACATGCTTTCTGAATATCGAACTACTGTTGATTGACATGCCCATATTTACAAAACCATGTCAGGCAGCAACATGAGACTTGAACAAAAGTGTTCCTTGCTTGACTTTTTTACCACCGACCCGCAGCTTGAGTGTCATGAGCATGCGTTTATTAGGTAGGCCTCTGTAAGTATAACAATGCTTGCCCACCACCCTCACTGATGGTGAGGAGCCGCGCAGTATTCCTGAAGAAACATAACTACTCAGAAACAAGAAATGTAATGAAAGGTACGTTTCTTTCGTCAAAACATGCGCTGTGCCTGCCCCACAGGCTACTCAGGCTTTAGGCGTGACGTCAGGGCATGTCAAACACCTTCAGAAATATTTAGGGGGCGCAGGTCTCCCCCCAGTCGGGACGAGGGTATAGATTGTGAGTGTATTGATGATGTGCGTAATTGATGTCCCGTTCTATATATGAGGAGAATGGCAGCATAATTGATTTAAATTTAGTCGTCGTGCTGCACCGTATGCTCTAAGACGGTGATGGCGGTTGAAGACGTTGAAAAGGAAGGATAAACACGAGGTGAGATTTAAGAGGTGGGCGTGCACAGTCCTGGATTGCGTGGCAGTCCTGCGTTTATCATATTCAAAGATTATGCCAAAGGCCCAGAAAATGCCACAAGGCTCGATCCATGTGAGCGAATATTTTGCAACGTTACAACATTCATAAAAACACATATCCCTAGGACTCGCAGGTACCTTGATCTCTTCTGTCGTGTTGATGTCCACTTGGCATATTCTAAATGTATGCGGAATGTCTGCCACTGTCTGCCACTGCCATATATATATATATATATATATATATATATATATATATATATATACATATATATGTATATATATATATATATATATATATATATATATAGATATAGATATAGATATATATATATATATATATAGAGAGATATATATATATATATGTATATATATATATATATATATATATATATATATATATATATATATATATATATATATATAGCGTATATAGATATGCTAGACACTAAATCGGAAAAACAGCTCCGCTGAATTGAATAAGCAGCAGTTATAAAATTGAGCATGATGAATATGTCATATCTGGCATGCCTACAATGAAAATATAAAAGATTTGACAAACATGATAACGGTGAATTTGTCGCATACTTTCACCGCCATTGGCAGATTAAAAGTATGCGTCAGTTCCCTGGGCCCATTTCTCGCCACGAGTTATTTCTGTGTCCTCTCCGGAGACAGGCTGTCGTTACCCGGCTTGATCGATTCTGCTCAGAACCCCCCCCCCCCCCCCCACTCCCCTCCCCCCCCCCCGGCAATGGCGCCATGACCAGTGGCTAAATCAGGGAAGTAACTCGATGAGGCAGATTGCAGACATCGAAAGAGATTGCGTCTGCCGGAAAATGAAGGTGAACGAGTGTCATCGGCGGCGCGTGGCAGCACCGCCGCTAAGCGGAGCAGCCGCACACTGTTGCCTCGTCGCTCTGCGCTCTGCTAGCCGGCCATGATCGGCACATCGCTGTCACTCCCATGGACTGAAGCCGCATGGAAGTTAGGAGTTCGGGGCTCTGGTATTCATGAGAGCTGCTTTAAAGAAAGTGGGTCTTGGTCTGGGGGCGTTGTTGAAATGGCTGGATGTCGCAGTTGTGAACGAAAGTGAGGACTTGTTCAGCGCTTTGTAAGGGGATGCATGTAACTGGTGTCCATTTGGGGAGGGGGGGGGGGCATGTGATCACCTCTTGGATCGACCGACACATTGTCGCGAGACCGGATGAAGCCGATCAAAGAGATTCGACTCGTTCTGTCCAGACGATCAAACGATATTGCTCCCTTTGTCTGAGGAATTATTGAAGAGTTCGCTCTGATCAGAAAGTGCACCGTCTGTCTAGAGGACCATTGGGCAGCATCGTGATAATGATTGATCAAGGCCGCCTGGTCGCTTCATGGAGTCAGATGCAGTCCATCAGCGCATGGAACGTTTCTGAAACCTCTAACAGCGTCGCTGTCTATTACTTGTCGCGGGAGGTTGGAAATTGTAGATTACAGACTCAACTTTTTCCAAAATTTCAGCTCGCAGTTCGGCCGGCCCCGGCCAGCAAATGATCCAGCCCGTAAAACCCATCGAGCTACAAAGCTGGCTGATAAAGGGGAGCACCTGGGTGTAAAACTTGCACCAAAGCACGTGTTGAACACTCTGACAC